TTGAAGTATCATTTAGCTCGGTTTCAGACCTTTCAAAATTGTAATATGTAACAGTGTGCAAATCACTGACAGTGAAAAACCTGGAGAAGATTAGGTTTGGTTTGAATTTTGCAAAAAGCTACTCAAGGACTATCTGCACTAGCCATTCCTAATTTAGCAGTGATGGATTGACCATAACACTATAATGCTCCCATGGTTGAAATGGTGAACATGGTTAGTGACAGGGATTCAAACCCACAACTCACAGATTACAAGTCAAGTGTCCTAATCACCAGGCCTTGCTAGGCATAGAAGATTAGGAATAGATGGACACGTTCTGCAGCTCGAATAACCCGCAGTTATAATGGTAGGTGGACGTGGTCATGTAAATATAATATATACTAATATAATCCAATAATAGAGATTTGTATGATAACTGATACTCCTGGATTGGATAAACCAGCTGGAATCTTTGATTGAGATGGTAAGGAGATTCTTCTTTACAATAACACCCTTAAACAATTCTAAGCACTGTGTGGGCTAACCTCAATAGGTATATCCAAATTGGAGTTCACTTATGTGGAGTTTACTATCTTGTGTGTTCACAAGATTTCAACCATCAGGCCCCAAGATTTATTTCTTACCCAACTTTGGAAAGTAAAAAAAAACCTTCTAGCCTATTTGGGTAAAAAAGAGAGACTTTTGTAATAAAGAATGCAAAATCACAAAACAAAGTACATGAATTATTTCATAGGGTGACTGTATGCTTTTTCAGTCTTTTATTTGTTGTCATTTACCCATTACTGTTTTTTCATTTCATTTATATTTTATATTAGAAGATGAGAAATATTCAGCAACCATTAACCCCCACAACCACCATCATGGAGACCTAGAATGGGATGTTATGCACTGACTGTAAAATGGGGATAGTACAACAATGCCAAGGTTTGGTGGTCACTATATACCTGAACACCATAATGTCCACAATACCCATTAAGAATACCTCATTACTGGCACTTGGTTGACCGTACCAACTATTTACAAGTTGAGTGACCTAGAAGGGAATCTCTAAGGTGGCCTTTCTACGGGAATTCAAGGTCAAAGTTGTGTGTTGCAGTGTCCCAGGCAACGCTTAACCACCAAGAACCTCACCTCCTCTTCACAGGGCACAACACATGGCAAACACTTGGGTGGATGTTTTGATCCCACAGAAGTTAAACTATACAGGCAGAACCTTCTACCTGGGAGGTCCCCTCACCATGTACAGGAATCCAAATCAAGAGAATATAAAAGGGCAAACCCTGTAATAGTGTAATGTAAAACTGTGAAAGTTAAAACAAGAAATAAATGAAATATTTATTGCAACAGTATAAAAGCAGCATAAATATAAGGAGGGGGCTAAGTTTTTATCAATTTTCCCTTAATTTACCCATTTTTACATTATGTTATCAAAGGTTTTGACATCATAGCTTTATATGGTATACCCCTTTACTATAAGGGCTGGTACACTAAGGCAAATATAAGGGGTGGTACATTAATATGATGAATAAACAAACAAAATGACACTTAATAAAATTTGGATGTCCAGTAAAAGTGGAAAAAATATAATTTAATAACCTCCTTAAACTCTAGCAAATAACATCTTGACTAGAATCATATGATAATTACTCGTGTGCAACTTACAGACAAGAGTAAAAGAGCATTAATTTTTTTTATTAAATCAATTTTATTAATCTAAAAAATCCAAAGTTACCAGTTTGTAGGTAATGAACAATTCAACATGCATAAACACAAAACCTGATACTAATCCTGTTATGTACAACAAAATGTCATGAACAATCAAGTTAATTTGAAGTAAATGTAATTGTCATATTTATTTGTATGTATCAAGATGCCCTTTACTCTGTTTGTGTTTAACTGTTAACTAAAAAGCCAACTTGTCCACCAAGATCCTATTTACCAAATGTTGACAACAAAAGAGTTTCACTAGCTAAACTTAAACATGTTTACAGCATGCTACTGAACTATGATGATCTCAGGTCAATATGGCAGCTCTTGTGGCCTTATGTCAGGCAGAAAGTGATTCATCAAATGTAATTTGAGCCATGATCAAATTTACTAAAACTCTTCTTGCTCTTATGAATTTATAAGAATTAATATCCAGTTTTGCAATTTAAACTTTAAGACAATGAATTAGTTTCTCATTTACAAATACTGTTGCCAAGTTTATATAAATTTTGGTGGTGCCCAAAAGGGGTCAGAGTCTAATACTTTTTACTTGTTGTGTGGAACGTTTTGGAAAATAATCTATTTGGAACATTGACTGAATAAATTAGAAAATGAACAATCTCTGCAGATATACTGTATAAAATGTTTACCCTAATAAAATATATTGTGGTTATATAATTATATCACTTGTTAGACAATATAGGCCTATTGCTTATGTATCAAACACAGTTGGAATGCATTACATTCTGCTATAAAATAATATGGAAAAAGGCCAAAGCACATTCAAACTAGAACCTTTCTCTTGCATTTCTTAGTTTTGTAAGATGGGTATAGAAGTATAGCTATTTCCACTTCTTTTCTCCTCTGTATTTTGATTAAGTATTTATTCATTTTTACTGGGCATTGAAAAATTTTAAATGAATTAACAGATGGATGGGAAGTATAACAATGCATCTACAGAATGCAAACATATGATGTCTGTATACAACAATAAAACAATATGATGTATTACTGCACATTTAACATTGCTAGTGTAAGGAACAGCTGTGAACAGTCACAAAAAGTTATCTATAAGCTTGTCTGTGTAAACAAACAGTTGATTGTGTAGTCAATGCTATGATAAATAACAATCTCATTTAACACACATTTATATCTTGGTAAGAATAAAACAGTGGGTATCATGACAGACTTCATGGGGGCTCTAACAAGCCCTTGCAAAACTCATTTTAGGGGGAACTTTCAAGCATCAGTGTGATGGTGTCTGTTAAACATTAAGGAATGCTTTCGTGTGGCTCTTTCCATACTACACATAAAATGTTTTGATCAGATTAAATATGCACTATAAAAACCTAACTTAAACAGTGTCTTAATGCTATTATATTTTGCATAGTTCTACAATAATAAATCTTACACAAAACTTACTAAGTATCAGAGTAAATATATATGTTATTATTATATATCTATAAATATTATTTTAACAGTCATACCATTGTGTATATTATGAAATTTCACAAACAACCAATACACCTATATTCCACACAAACCTTACTTAGTCTCACAATACACCTATATTCCACACAAACCTTACTTTAATAGTGTAACATTATTTACCTTATTTACTTTAACAATTATAATTCTCTTTTTTACAAACCTTATTCAGGGTCACAATGTTATTTGATGCCACAGCAGCAACAGACATATCAGTAGGCCTACAAAAGAAATTGCAATAATGAAAATTAATCCAATGTTTTTCTATTAGTTGTGTAATATTTATTGCACCTCTTGTTTTTAGGTAATATTTATTTCAAGTGTCCCTTTTATAAATTTATTAAGAAAAATATGTTATATAAAATGAATAGTGCACAGGTAACATGATAAATTAGTTATATTTACATAATAGAGGAGTCTCTAGTATCCACCAAAGCACAGGCACTCCTTAATGCCATTTCAGAGTAATTATGTAACACATTTGTCAGTACACAGTCAGACAGTATGATATTGTCTTTAGTCACTGACCACTGGAAAGCAACCAGCCAGCAACAGCATACTGCTATCTTTTTATAGTTATTTGTTGTCCTTATTTATTTCTACTTTCTTAAATTATTTATTATTAAAAATTGAACAAAATAATACTAATTATTATTATTGTGTACAATTTTTGTTTCAACAATTCTCAGTACAAATAAGAGGGGATTGCATTTTATATATTAAGAAGTGGATATCGAGATTGCTAATCACTGTTCAACAGTATAGCAGCAGGGCAAAAAAATGCAAACCCAGCCTAGCACCAACAAACCGGTATATAATCACATAAAACTAGAAACTAATGTATTCTCAAAATAATTCAATATTATTTAAAATACTTATAAGATATTAAGAACATCATTACTAATATATTAAGTATTCATTAAAAATAAAAGCTTTAATGACTTAAGTAAGATAGACAGATGATTCTACTATAATTTATACCTTTTTTCAAGGCAATGAAGTTCACATTTTCCTTATCCGACAATACATACCTCCACACACAGAAATGCTATCTTCCTTGCATGTTTGCCAAAGAGATTTGCCTGCCACTAGCCTTCAGGCAACCCCTATTTAATGGTACATGATCATATTATGCAACAAAAGACCTTTATTAACATGAGGGTGACACAACTTTCATGCATAGGAACTCCCCCTACACACTTGAACTCATGATAACTTGACTCTATGATGAGCTAGGCAAAAACATTTGTACCAGAAGTGATGAGAATGGATGGGAATATGTATGGAGGTATCCATCAGAATTATATTTTCAGATAAAGAAAATGATAATTCTGAGACAATAACTCACTTCTTCACACAGAAATGCTATAATTCCATGCTGAAATGGTGGAGGAGCTGGAGCAAAATGTTAACTAGATGAACTCCCTTCTGAAGCACCTGAAAGCAAGCCTATGGAGTGTGACACCCAATGGCAGGAGCACACCTGTGGGAGATCACATCTCGTCTCAACCAGGGTATACTCTTCACATGGAATGAAGTGGGAAGAGGCAAATAAGTCCCATGAGTTGCAGGGATAGGCAGAATGAAAACTTGACCATCCAAGCACTTGCACATAAGCAGTTGGTGAGCCAATACATATAGTGTGGTTTGGGCACAGTCAAACCATACTTTGAATGCTCACTTCTACTCTAACTAATAGACTCTAGCCACAGAAGGAAGGCACAGTAGTTATGTATTATATTTCTGTATAGTGTGTGTGCTCACCTTGACTCTACTGAACAGGCCCTGGTTGTAGGAGGAGGGCACATTAGTTATGTATCATGTTCTCTGTACAGCGTGTGCTCATATTGACTCTACTGAACAAGCAGGAGGAGGGCACAGTAGGTATGTGGTATATATTTAACCACACTATACTTACAGTGTCATCACCATTCCACTTCTCACCATATTATGCTAAGCCCAATGTGTGAGGACTCTCAATGGTCTACCATCCCAGCAGCTAGGAACTGGTAAATAGCAAGGAAGCCCCACCAAAACTCCAGCCAGAAAAGTCTTTTACTGGAGAGAGAGTGCAATGGGTGACCATGAAACCCGATTTTTAAAATTTGGCAAGTGCAAGCCTAAGAAGTAAGCAGAACACTTTTCTGGAGCTGGCATTTTCCATGATAGTTCATGGAATAGATAAGGTATGGATCAGATAATTGAGTATAATCATATACCACAAGGATACTTCAAGCAGTCTTGTGGAACATCCCATCACATAGTGATACCACAAGGATACTTCAAGCGGTCTTGTGGAACATCCCATCACATAGTGATACCACAAGGATACTTCAAGCGGTCTTGTGGAACATCCCATCACATAGTGAGCACTGGTAGAGCCAGAGAAAATGGGCTGAACACTTTCTGGTATCCTTGTTCAATGCAAAATTTGGGTAAGTATACTCTGGGAGGCAACACCAGCCACCTAGTAGTATCCTATGGAATTAAAAAATAGTTCTAAAAGAGAAATTGTACATAACCTTCCCATAATGGTGGGGGTGATTGAAAAATGGCGACTGGTGAAAGTTGAAATCCAGCAAGAGACAAAACAGCCAGATGTGAAAAGATGCCCGTCTGGAGGATTTTGTTCTAGGGCCAGTGAAGAGAAGAAGCAAGAGAATGAAAAAGGTGATAAATCAAATGGAAAAAGATGTGAAATACCCTGACAGCATCCACATCTGGAGATAAATATACCAACCAGAGGAGTTGAAGGACCAATCTAGTGAGGGTAGGAGGAGAAGTTCCTGGAAGAAATGGAGAGGAGAGGTTCACAAACAAAGGCAGCAGAACCCAAGAATGAAACCCTTGAATCCACAAAGTCCACTGAAGGAAGCACATGTGTGCATGCCCCAAAGGATTGACAAATTTTAGTAAAGCCAGAGTCCCCTAAAGTGAAAGAACCTCTTACATAGGATGACAATGAGAAGTACAAATCCTGAAGACCAGATATACTATAGCCTGCAGGCAAAGAGAAGGCTAAAATTGGCTGAGGCCAGAAATGAGGACAATGTCCAAAAGTACCAAGTATCAGACGGGCATGAAAAAAATAAGCCCACTCAACCAAGTAGCCAGCTGTAAAAGAAAAGAGGTGTGAGAAGAGGATACTATCCAAGGATGGGTCGAGAAACAATCATTCAAGCAAAGGAATGCCAACCCTGGACCATGATTACTGCAAGTGAAGGTTCTCATGATACCAATGAATACAAAAGGAGCCCACTCTATGTTGAAAGGAAGAACAGGATTAAGAGGCAAAGTTTAGAAAGAAGAAAAACCTGGGAAAATAAAGAGGACTGATGTTGTATAATGCCAGCCCAGGTCTCCAGAGAGAATTGGACATCACTGAAGACATCCAGGTGAAGACCATATAAACAAGGAGGAGAAAGAAGTACAGTAGAAAGGAATGTAATTCAACCCAAGGAGAAGTAACATCGGGGAAATAAAGTAACGAGGGATATAGCAAAAGTGAAACAGGATGAGCTGGTGGTATGAGAGGGAATACAGGAGGGTAGTGAGAAAGAGATGAAAATGTGATAATGAGGAACCAGAGATTGAAACAAAAGACAAGGGCCCAATCCCCAAGAAAGTCAAATAGGTATCAAAGCAGGGAATCAAGAAAAGGATGAAGAATTTCTAGAAGTCAGGACAAAAAGTCATGAACATGAGGAGGATGAGGCATATGGGCATTAGAGAGGAGGTTTTAAAGAAAGGAAACAGCATAAACCCTAATAGTAAGCAAGAAGGAAAGATAAGGTAAAAACCAGCAACTGAAATCATGGAGTAAAAATAAATATTAAAGGAAAGTACCTGAGAATGAAATACAGAAATAGATTTGAAGGAAAAGGTCATTTCACCAATGGTAAGACACTACCCAAAGCAAATCAGGTTAAATATGTAATCAAATAAATCAATCCCAACTGAGGAGAAAGTACTTTAGCCAATGGGACAGGAGTGGGAAGCCAAGGAAGCATGTGGCAATTAACAAACTGCTGAATAATGGCTGCAATGCCCCTGACAGTTAATGAACCTCCAGAAGCCAGAGCAGAAATAAAGCCTGTGTATGTAATATTGACATTCACACACACAACTAACTATACGTCACCTTTATTTAAAAGTAAAGTTTTCAAAAACAAAACCAAATTTTTTAACAAATATAAATCTATTGAACTCAGTAAAGAAATTTTGAATACGTCTATTAAATGCAATGCTGAGGAGAGGAAATGAAGCTATCACGAGTGCAAGTGCTTAGGGAAAGTTACTGAACATGGAGATTGTGTCACCCTTCTATTAGTGGAGGGCTTTTGTCACATGATGACTGATCATCCACCAGCACAGTTCATGTTAAAACATATGAAATCAGGTAGGAGTTGCCCTGATACTAGTGGCATGCAAATCTTGTAGGCAGACGCACAACAAAGATAGCATTTCTGTGTAAAGAGGTGAATTATTGTCTCTGAAGTTAGGTATTTTACTCAAAAGTAATCTAGCCTAGCACTGTCATTCATTTTGTCTTCTTCCCAGAGTTAACACATCTTAACAGTTAACAAATAAGCCTACTATTTGTTATCTGCTCAACACTACTGCAACATAAGCATAATTTAACATAAAACTGTTCAATCAAATTAAACTGATTCAAATTCATTATAGCACTCTCACAATAACTCAAAATTAATTTTAGTATTCATACAAAAAAAAATAAATAATAAATGGGTCTTAAACTAAAAATAAAATTCTGATAGCTTTACTCTCCAAGCTTAAGAAATTAGTAACTTGTACATTTTTCTACCATCACTATGTAAATGTTTAAAATGAACATGCCACTACAATCAGGGTTCAAAAAGAAAAAAAACAACTTATTCACAATAACAACACTTAGAAATAAATTCAACACTTAACAAAGCACACTTAATAAACAAGTGCCTGGCCAGAACTTCAAACCAATATTGATAAACAATTTATCATAAATATTAATAAATCAATAATAATGGAATCAGAAAGAAAAAACTTAATCCACCCCCCTAAAAAAAAGAATACAGCAAATACAATATTCCAACAATACTTTTCAATGTTTATGTTATACTAATTAGTATAGCATACAATCTTAGCTAATAATCCATATTTTAATAGTATATAAATTTTAAGTTCTTAATTGTATAAGGCAATATTTAAGAAAATCCTGAATTTCCCCTAGTGTGACACACATAAAACATTTTCTCTAGGTATCTTCTCCTCTCTATTTTATCCACCACCACTCCAAAATGTACAAAATTAAATGTAAATTACTCACTATAAAATTGTCATTGCTCAGACAAACCGTAATTTTTATAGCCTTCAATTTTGTTTGGTTACAGAGCTATCAAATAGTAAATCAGACCCCTCTTGTCACACTCTATCTTTCAGGATTTGTTAATAGTTCTCTCTTATATTTAATTATTTATTACCTATAACCAATAGAAAGTCAAAGTTTTCATTTATCAAATAATGTATTGTATAACATTGTGTTCTGAACAGATAAGTGTCAGTTGCACTTAGAGTACAAGCTTCGTTCCTGTGGGAAAGTTAACAAACTGCTTGGTTAAATTTGTAACAGCTCTTGTCACATAGTTAGAAAGCCAAAAAAATTTTGAGAGTTAGGGGAAATTGTCTAGTTTTGCATGTTATTAGTCTATGTTCTATGGTGCAAAATTTTATTAAATAAAAACTACTTATTACATTACTACAATTAGTATAAAAAAGTAGGGTTAACTGTTACTGACAATCAACAAGAAGAAAAAAAGAAGATTGGGTAAGTACTTTATTTCTTATTTTTCATGAATTTTGAGCTTTGTCAAACAATAAGAAAATCAACTTTTTTGCTATTGTTAATATTTTAGCAGCCCTAGCCATTGAGATAGAAGATCTTAAGTGTTGTTTCAAGAACAAATCTGCATTTTAAGATGGTTTTTGCATGTACGTTCTATTAGATATTTTGTAAAATTGCTGGGTGATCCCTAATATGAAATTAGAAATTAGATTTTAGAAATACCATTATGAAATCATTATGAAAAAAAACAAAGACACAAAGGAATATAAAATTAACTGGACAGAACTGTATCCTTTGAAGACATTAGGTTATTGTTATCTAGTATCAATTGACAAAGCACTCAGCCTGGTAATACTACATATTTGTTAGTAATCCATCTATGAGGTATCAATTTCTATTTCATCATTAGTTAACAGAATGATGTAGTTAGTCTAATGCTACTACAAACTTATTAGTGGTCCTATTGTGATGTAGCAACTTCTTTTTTATTATTAGTTATGGTTTTGTTTATCTCTTACATTTTCCATCATATTGTTAATTATCCTATATTCTTACAACTAGTATAAATGTTGATTTGCAATGACCCATGTTTAATAATATGATTACATATTTGTGCTTCCTTTTAAATGTTCCAACACTATGATGATAAAATAGACTGACTTTGCCGAAGCATTCTTTGTTTGTGTTGAGTGCAATTCCCATTTCACTAAGCGTACACAATAAACTGGCACTCAACTACCACTTCACTTTGTGGAAACTGTCACAAAACCTGCATTTACAACACATCACAAAAAAATTAGGATGTGGAGTCATCACAGGCCAATGTACTGGAAAGATTTTATACCTGGGTATTTAAAACAAAAAACTCACTGAAAACTCTTATCTTACAAAAAATATAATCCTGACAAATAACTCATGGAATAAAAAAATTGGGAGTTCAGCAAAAGAACTGTGAGAACTAATGGTCCATTACATGTTCTTGGTGACCACTGGAAATGTAGTATGGCATATTGCCAATGAACTAATGAAGAAACATGGCAGTAAAACTACCAAAGTCATTATTGGCAAAAATAATGGATGCTGTCAGTTATTTGGTAAGGAAAGCTGATAGATTTCTAACAAATGAAACTACAAACATGGCAGAGACATACATACATCTTGTTTGTAAATTTATTGGAGGGAAAAACTTTAACAGATCTCAAGGCAGGTTGTATAATGAACACTGCCATGGTGCAGGTCTATCTCTTCATCATGGAGCTTCATGGCACTCATGGGCTTTGAAAAGATCAACTCTTAAAAGCCCTTTCATTGTTATAAAGAAATATGTTTCTAAGCTGGAAAAGAAAAGAGCTGAATGCATAAGAAACTTAATGAAGGCCATAACAAAATAGAAACATGCAAATCTAAAAAGGAACAATTCGAACCTCTGGGAAATTCTAATTATGGTCTACAAGCTCAACAGTCATATGTGTGAAGAAATGCTGAAGAGTAGGAAAGAAGAAATTATTAAAAAACTACAGTTAACTGAAAGTGAAATATCACACCAAGAGAAAAAAACATGAAAGCAAGCTGAAAGTTTTGAGTGGAAAGAAATGCAAAGTGCATGTCTTACTGCATCTAACTTTGGATCAATATGCAAGAAACATTAATTAATCAACCAATAAGTCATCAATTTGGTAAATGAGCATAAGCAGAATGATTGAGAATAAAGATTTTTTAATTCACTTGTGTTTATATATTTATTTTGCCATCTCAAAAAAAACTTTGTGTATATTCCCAAATCTGCATTCTTATGTATATTAAAATTTAGACATATCTGGCAGATATCAGTGAACCACAATAACACAGCAGTAGTGAATGCACTTCTTGAATTATACACAAATAAAATGCATCATTTGTTATGGTTGATCAGTAAAATCATAAGTGGATGATTGGGTACTAGGAAAAGTATTATAGTTCTACTTCAGATTTTTGGAAATTAGTAAAATAACTGGGAAAATGTAAAATAATACAAAAATTTGAAACATAGGTAAGAATAAATTTACAGCAAGAATTATCTCATCTGATACAAAACCATTTGCTTCAACTGATTATCACAAGTACAAAAAGACAGAAGAAGGGTCTACATAAATTGAAAGGGAAGTGTGGTTTACAAAAGAGGTTATGACGTATGAAAAAGACAAAACAATGGCAGCATATGTTAAACCTATTCATATTCCATACAGCTATAGTTTGTGGCTAGGATAAAACTTGAAGAGTTCACGGAGTTCCAGTTATCAATGTATTATATATCTATCTATCTATCAACAGCCATTTTTGCAAATAAAATGTGTGGACTATTACCGAAATTACAAGTTTTCACTAAATAAAAAAAGAAAGACAAGACCATTTCTAACATTCACATTAAGTAGGTTGTGTACAGCTATACCACTTTGTTTGTGGTATAAAACCAAACAATAACTCATTGTCATGGAATTATTTATTTACTTCACAGAATAGGTGAAAATATATCAAATATTATTTCCATCTGCTCTTTATTATAATTTTTATCAATGCTATAATAAGTAGCTTGTATTGGATACTGTACCTTCACCACATACTACGTATACATTAAGATATTATAACATATACTCAACTTGTACTGTACTTTATCTAAATGTTGTGATAACTAATTCAAACATTGCTATGTCCTATTACCCTTATGAGTATTTGACCTCTGACTGAAAACTATATATTTTTGAAAATTAATTTTATGCACAGCATAATGAATATTTTGCTGGTTTATAACTACGTAGCTCACGATGGCTGTACATTTTGGTCTACTATCATTGCTGTTGTATTTTTTGCAGTCTATGAATGCCTTAGAACATTTAAGTCAGTTTAATGACATGGTAACAATCAAGAGACACTACAGACTGTATCTAGCACCATCTCTTTTTTCAGTCATAATGTGTTTAGTGCTATCTTCTGGGAAAAGTAAAAACTATTTCCCCATTATAACAACTTTTCACGTGAACAATGTTTTGTTTCAATTTTATATATTTAACGACACATATAAATTTGCCCATTTTTCTATCTACTTATTGACAACCATTCAATTAATTCTTTAAATGTCAAAGTTTTTTTATGTAAATTTTATTTTAGTGATTTTTGCTGTATTTTAGTATACATTTATTTCTTATGAATTCTGTGAAAAAAAAATCTATATTCCAAAAGAAAAAAAATTCTTCACTGTAGAATTGTTTCCTTTTTAAAAGCACTATATTAACAGCATATATATCCTTAAAGAAAACACCAACAGATTCAACTATTTCAGAGAAAAATGTGAAACAAGTTTTAAATTTAAAGTTCTTAAAATTTTTTTAATTGTATAATGGATTTTTAGGTAATGTTACCTATTAAAACATAATATAGATTCTCAGTTATACAATCATCATGTTTTCTTATTGAATAATCATCACTCAGTAGGTTATGTTCCACATTTTAACTAAGGTAAGCCAGATCTTAACCTTAAATATTTAAAAAATATAACAATCAACATTTCAATACTTACGTTAAGTTCTTTAAAACAAGAAAATTCCTTTTAATGTATTAACACTGCTAATCTTTTACTACAGAGAAAGCCTACCTTTGTTTCAAAATGCAGTTATACTGCTTAAGAGCCTGTTCTGATTTTCCTTGCTGTTGTAGACAATAAGACATTTGTGTTCTAGAAAAAAATTTAATAAAATCATTTAGTGAAAATAAGTAAAAAAAACATTATTCAAAGAGAAAACAAAAATTATCTTACAATCTGAATAATGTGGAAGCCAAATTCTGCCAATTCAAAAACAGCTTTAGACTTCCAAACCCCAGGTTCTTGTAAATACTTAGCTACAGTTAATAGCTTTATTCTAATAAATGTTTTATTATTAAAGTTAATTATTTAAACATAATATTGTGTTTTCAAAAGTTCATCAAAAGATTTTCATAATACATTCTTCCTTGCATTTTCTAGTTTATATTTAACTTCAAGTATCAAAGTTCTTTTCATTCATGTTTATTGTACGGCATGCCTCCAGTGCTATAATTTATATTCTTCTTCAATGTAAAAGCTATTTTACATTCCTAGTCTTGTAAGCTGGTAGACATGAATATAAATTTCTCACTATTTAAAAAGTAAATAGCAACAAGATTAAAAAACAATGATTAAGTTTGCTGTGAAAATAAAAAAAATCTTCCTACAAACAAACATAAAACACTAAGTTATGATTATCTAAGCTTGCATTTTTGTGGAATAACAAATTTTACCAGCAGTTAAATCAATGTGTGCTTGTTAGTTATACTCTAAATGATCTTTACAATGAGATATGTTACACGGAAGTCTATGATCCAAAATTATACCACAGAAACAATTTATATTTCTCCCAGTCTAATTTTTAAAAAATATTGAAAAGAGCTTCCTAACTTTAAATAGTAGATATCTATTTAAATTATAGATCTATATTTTGTTAATGATGCAAATTTTGGTAATAGTACTGGTAAACATAATTTACTGATAATATTAACATCATAAAAACCAATAACATAAATGAGGAAGTGAAAAGTGATTATTATGTAAGTTGATAATTCAATTACATCTATTATGTAGTGTTATACTGTTTTGAACATTAACAGAGACAATATTTCTTTTTTAGTTTTGTAAAGTATTAAGTACTATCATTCTAATCAGTACCAAGTGCTTCATTATCAACATTTAATGACTAAAATGTTAATGATTTTGAATATATTCAATTACCAATAGGTAAGTTATTTATGTCTGAATTATACTTTAAAATAATTAAATCAGTACAATCAAAAGAATGTCAGAAATATAAATTATTACTATTTCTAAGATTACAATTTTAAATTACTGTACTTTTAGATTATTAGTTTATTCCCACTATTATTTTAGTATTTCATCTTCATTGGTATTCAACTAATGTAAAGTAATATATATATTTTGTATTAACTACCTATATATCACCAAATCTTGTAAAAGATCAATTAATAATTTTCTTATCTCTTTAGTGCAGTGTTTCTCGAATTTCTATTGTCATGATTCCTTCATTGCCAACCCCCATTTATGTTATGCTTATAGCACTAAATACCAAATATTAGAAGTTTATTAAAACAGTGAATGTAACTTAAATGTCAATGAAATCTAAGTGGATTTTCTAGCAAAGGGGCTTCAAGCCACACTTTAAGAGATACTTCTGATAGTGGAATACAAAAATATATGTTTGTGTGTATATATATATATATATATATATATATATACATACACACACACACACTTGCTGAATTCTATAGAGAAACATAAAATTATAAAATGGAAAATGAATTTCAATACTACATATTCCACATAAGAAGTGGTTTTAAATATTAAAAGTTTTCTTAATCTGTATCATAAGCTACACATAGAAATTTATTAAATTAGAAATTAAGTATTTTATGTTTGGGTGTAATGTATGCAGCCACTTTTGTTGGTTAAAATTGAAACAATTAGAAGACAAAATATCATCATGAACTTATTCAGAAACTTTTGATACAGCCTTTTTAAAAATATGGAGTATGAAACACACTCCAAACTGTTTATTGCCATGAAATATATTATTAATATTAAAGAGGAAAAACAAACATACACTATTATTCCTACTTCATCTTCAATTTCCTCTTCAGGAACTTCATCTTCTTCAAGAGCTTGTCTACAAAGATCTAAAAGTAAAACATTACACATTTTAACAAATAAAATAATAACATTCTGAACGTGAAATTACTCAATCCTGATATTATTTGAGTTGTAAGCTGCAGTGTTTCCTACAATTCACTTTAAACCATAGAAAAGTATGTTAAAGAAGATCAATTCACTTACAAAACTATTATTAAACCACATAAAAATTTTGAAAGTTCTCAATTTTTTCCATTTTCAAAATACATAAATTGTGAAAATATATAAAAATAACATACATACCATCCAGTTCTCAAAATAAATCAGTTAACATTATTTCTTTATACATGTACTCATAAAACTCATTCATTTGATGCAATATGCCAATATTAAAGATTCCCCAAGTTTACTAAAGAAGTGAAAAATAAGATGTTATCACAAACAGAAAATACATTTTAAAAGTAATTTTTAATGTTTGGCATACTCTTGTTAATATTTTTGTTAAAATACAATAATACTTGTAAAAACAAATATAATTAAACATACACTGCCTTTCAACTCATTACTTCAATGAAATAATGAAAATATGCTTGCATATGAAACAATGATCAATTGTGTGATACTTGTGAATTCACTTCAAACATTACTGACTTTCCAAATACATTTTATTAATATATTATTAACATGAAATTATTGTGTTCTATAAATTATTTTTCAAACAAGGTAATTAACATGAATTCAACTACCATATTACCTTGTTTCAATAGATTTAAGATTTGAAACAGCAATCCTCACAAAATGTTCACAGAAAGCAAATGTTTCCAAGATTTTATTGAAAAATTAATAATTTGGTGAATCAAGGCCATTTACATGCAACACTTATTTCAAAATTATTACATAATAAAACATATAATATTCATACTTTCTGCTTTCTTGAGCTTTTCTAAAGCATCTCCAAACATCTTCTCACCCACAAGAATGCAGGCTTTATTGTAACACAATTCATAGGTGTGTTCTCTCAACTGAGGGGGATTTTTTACCTATCAAAGATAATATCAGTTCATAATATGCATATATCACACCTGAACAAAATTTAGATAGCAATTACAACACATTAAAATGTATCTGGTGAACATTTCTTTCAACCATACTCAGACTAACATTTTGAAATTGAATTCACTTTTGCATATGGGCAAAGAATTTTACACAAGATTTGAATGCAGAATAAATGCTGTGGTACACCAAAGATGGTATATACTGCCCACATAAGTTAAAAAAAAAAGGACTTCAACATTGCTATTGAAATGAACTGGAAAAATGTGTGTTTAATAATACATCATAGTATTTAGTAGCTATTATTGATATATGTAATAAAAACTATTTCATTCAATCAATATCTTACCTCTTTTCCAGTTTTTTCACTCAAACTTGCAATCACAGCTGCTAGATTAGTCTCCCTTTCCTCTTCAAAATCATCCTCAGAAATACAAAATAAATATTTTTCCATTGTCATACTTTATAAACAAATTATCTTATTTCTGCCTAAAAAAAAATAATTCAAACCCACAAAAGAATTTCTTAATGGTCTAACTAGGTCTTAAAAATTTATTATAATTTTTCTTGAAGTTTTTTTTTTACAACAAGGGATAGAAACATACCTCAGTGAGAAGCGAGATCATACTTTAGAAAGAAAATATCATAATTTCTATCTAGAAAAGTTCCACTCCTGACTCTCAATGATTTTACTAAAAAAATCTAATTCTGGTACAATGAATTTTAATCATTCCTAATTACTAAAAACTTTTATATTGTAATTAATTTAGTCTTTTAAAATTTCATAACGAAAGCCTTCTTTAGTGTAGATAAAAAGAAGTTCCATTTGTTAGAAGATGTTCTTAATTATCACATTACTTTTAGTCAGTCCAATAATAATTTCAAATTAAAAAAATGAAAAAATACTGTATCAAAAGAAAAACCTTCTATTCAATATTAAACTAATCATCTATGCTAATTCATATAATTAGAAGAACAGGTCCATTAAGTCTTTGAAAATCAATGAAGACATCTAATTCAAGATGGTGCCACTTAGTTGTGGACAAACTATGTAAACAAGAACAACTTATCAGAGGATTATTGCTTGATTATAAACTTAACATGATGCATCCAGAAAACCACTCTGCCAGGACCTAGCTGACAAAGCACCCTGGTGACAGAACAAGTCCTAACAGGATACAAGCCTGAACAATCAGAAATAACTTACCTGCTAGTTACTGCTAGTTGTATAAAATTTGCAGAAATGATTACTTTGTTTCATTCATTGTAAATCCACAAGTTAGAAAAAACCTCTCCTTTGACTGCTGGAAAAGCTCACTTTAAAATCATATTACCATATCAAGGCATGATTTTTTGGTGTGGTCATCCAGCACATTCTTTCACATCAGCTTAAAAGTAAAGGAAATTTGGGCAAACGATGATGAACAAGGTACAGAAAAGAATGAACCGATTACATAGAGGCTTACAAGGCTTTAATGTGAGCCACATATCCAAGACTAAAATATACAAGATTTTTGCCAAAAAATAATAACATTTAGACTCCCATATTTTATTTTATAAATGTTTTTTGTGCTTTTTGATTAATTTTTGTATATTTACATCAGTTATACATTCACTAGCAGAGACCCGCAAAACATTTCCAGCCAAATTAGTATCTTTATTGTAACAGTACTTCTTTAAATATAACATTTCTAGCTCAATACAAACGAATTGTAATCGTAAGACAACGAAGTGTGTAAATCCACTTGTATATAGGCCGTACTTTATAAAACTTTAACTTATGTTAGGCCTAAGTTTACTGTATTTAATACTATCGATATATAAACTTATAATGTTATTCTTCGACCTAACGTCAAACCTTTTTAAAAACGTTGATAAGTTTTTAATATTCTGTTGTACAAAATGGTTAGTAAAGTATATTTACATTTCCCTTTTGTTGTTACTTCTAGTTTCATACAGCAATTGTAGCGACTTCATTACTGAGCTTTGCAGCTCTCTGCCGCAGGCAGACTGTTTGTCGTCGAGTGAATAATGCGCATGCGCGGTTTTTCTTGGGGAAACATTCTAACTGTTGATGACAAAACCTTGTCGAAACGTTGTACATTTGCTGTCATGTTAAACTTATATTAAAGTTTTTCTTC